GTTGCAGTAGTAGTGGTCGTAGTAGTAGTAGGAGGAGGAGGAGGAGGAGTAGGAATAGTAGTATTAGGAGCGGTAGTAGTAGGAGTGGTAGTAGTCGTAGAAATAGTAGTAGTAGTCGTAGTCGTAGTAGTAGTAGTAGTAGTAGTAGTAGTAGTAGTAGTCGTTGGAATCGTAGTAGCAGTGTAGTAGTAGTAGTAGTAGTAGTAGTAGTAGTAGTAGTGGTAGTAGTAGTAGTAGTCGTGGTAGTAGTAGTAGTAGTAGTAGTGGTAGTAGTAGTGTTAGTAGTAGAAGTAGTAGCAGTAGTATCAGTTGTAGTTGTAGTAGTAGCAGTAGTAGTAGTTGTAGTCGTAGTTCGCGGTAGTAGTAGTAGTAGTGGTATTAGTAGTATTATTATTAGTAGTAATAGTAGTAGTAGTAGTAGTGGTAGAGTAGTAGTAGTAGTAGTAGTAGTAGTAGTAGTAGTAGTAGTTGTAATAGTAGTAGTAGTAGTAGTAGTAGTAGTAGTAGTAGTTATCATATTAGTATTTTTGGTAATAGTAGTAGTTGTTGTAGTAGTAGTCGTAGTGTTAGTTGCAGTATTAGTAGTAGTAGTAGTAGTAGTAGTAGTAGTAGTAGTAATAGTAGTTGTAGCCGTCGTAGCAGTAGTAGTAGCGGTAGTAGTAGCAGATGTTGCAGTAGTAGTAGTAGTAATTGTAGTAGTAGAAGAGTAGAAGTAGTAGTAGTAGTAGTAGTAGTAGTAGTAGTATTATTAATAGTAGTAGTAGTAGTAGTAGGAGTAGTAGTAGTAGTAGTAGTAGTAGTAGTAGTCGTAGAAGTAGTAGTGGTGGTAGCAGTTGTAGCAGTAGTAGTGGTAGCAGTAGTAGTAGTAGTAGTAGTAGTAGTAGTAGTAGTAGTAGTATTAATAGTAGTAGTAGTAGTAGTAGTAGTAGTAGTAGTAGTAGTAGTAGTAGTAGTAGTAGTGGTTGTGGTGGTAGTAGTAGTAGTAGTAGTAGTAGTAGTAGTAGTAGTAGTAGTAGTAGTAGTAGTAGTAGTAGTAGTAGTAGTAGTAGTAGTAGTAGTAGTAGTAGTACTGCTACTGGGAAGAGGAGGAGGAGTTGGAGGAGGAGTTGGAGGAGGAGAAGGAGGAGGAGGAGGAGGAGGAGGAGGAGGAGGAGGACGAGGAGGCGGAGTAGGAGGTGGAGGAGGACGAGGGGGGTGGGATGAGGAGAGGGAGGGGGAGGAGAAGGAGGAGGAGGAGGAGTGGGATGATAATGTCTGCAGGGAGATGAGAGGGATGAGTTGGTAGGAGCGGGGGAGGGTTGAGAGAGAAAGGGGGGGAGTAAACAAACAATGGATTACGACGAGAAGGACAGAGACAGAGAGAAAGAGAGAGAGTGTGTGAGAGAGAGGGAAACAAAACTGGTATCAGCGATGGGGGCTGCAGGGGTACACATACATCTATATCTATACACACATGTGTACATGTACATTTATACATGTAAGCACGGATGCCTGTATACACATATGTATATACAATGTATGTGTATACTTATATACACTGACATGTAGAAAGACAGAGGAGAGGCGCACATTCGGAAGGCGGTGCCTGCCTGGTGGTTGCACGCCCTGTCAGGGTGCCCCTTCTGACCAGCCATGGCGAGCATCCTCCTGGAGTTCGAGGTGCTCCCCGAGGACGGCCCCCACGAAGGGCTGCGTTGGGCCATCGCCGCCGCTCCACGCGCCGCTGCCGCTGCCACCCGCCGCAGCTCCTTCGGAGGAGGAGGACGAGGGGCGCCAGGAAGTCTGCAGGCCTGGGCGGTGTTTGCGTTGTCTAGCCTTGGGGCGCCCAGCGCTGCTGTGAAGCATTGAGTGCTGTAACTTCTGCATCGCCCAACACTGTAAAGCAGATGTGTTCATGCTTTGTTTCTTCCGGGTCTCTTGTGAGCTCTGGGCTCGGCAGGGGGAGTGGCTGCATCACATAACGAGTTCAAGTTGTGTGCTTGCTAATCGTGTGTTGCACTGTGTTCTGCAGTGCTGCAGATAGCGAGCAACATCTTCAAGCGCAGAGTCTTGAACAAGTGCTGTTGGGAATGGTACGTCGGCTAGACCGCGCCTGGCACGAGGCTCAAGCTTGGCAGCAGCATTAACTCAACTTTGACGCTGCGCGCATCTCCACCAGGTCATCCAGAAATGATGCCCCGTCGAGATGTCCGGAGAAGGGAAAAAGAGAAGCATATTATGAAGCAGGGGGTCCAGCAATGTTGAACTTAGAGAGTTCTGGGGGTTCATGGGGGCCTCTTAAACCCTGGGGCCCTCTCGGGGATCCTTTGAGGCCATCTTCGGGCTAGTTGGGCACCTTGTGGGGGCCTTTCGGGCCCGCTTGGAGACGCCATTGGAGGCCATCGATAAGATAGGGATGGACTCCCAATTCGGCTACTTGCCTTGGGTCCCGAAAGCTCGCCTTTTGGCGCCGCGAGGGAGAAGGAGGATAGAAAGGAGGAGGAGGAGGAGGCGGAGGAAGAGGAATTGGATGATGCTGAGGAGGAGGAGAAGGAGGAAGAGGAAAAGGAGGAGGAGGAGGACGAGGAGGAACAGGAGGAGGAGGAGAAGGCTTAAGCGGAGGAATAACAGCAGCAACAGGAGGAGGATGAGCAGCAGCAGCAGCAGCAGGCGGAGGGGCACGAGGCGGACACGGGGAAGGAGGGGGCTGGGAGGTGGAGGGGGAGGATGAGGACCAGTGCGTGCCCAAGACTCATCAACGATGTTGTCATACACCCTACCTCCAAGCTCCCTTTTTCCATAGGCCCCATACGAGGGCCAATTCCCACTGACGCAAATGCCCCGTTGGGTGACAACCGCGCGAAAATCCTGAAGCGCGCCAAAACACCATTTCAGGATCTCACCGCCACGAGTCAACCTGATTGTTGCTGCTTGCCGATCCTGAACCTTGCCAGAACATGATTCCTGTGATTTCAACACCGCGAATTAATGTAGCTTTTGCGCCCCGACAATCCTCAATCATTCCAAAACACCGTTCCCGATATGTTACTAATGAGAATACGTGAAGCTTTTGGAACTTGTTGAAGCGAATGTGCGCAGAGTTTAAGCGAGAGCCACATGTCGGAAAGATACCACCCTCAATCCGCGAAGTTCGTGCAACTTAAAAATCGGATGTGCGCGGTGCTAAGGCGAGGTCCACATTTTTTTAAACGGCCTGCCCGCAATCCGTGTAACGCTTGCTTTTTGTTTAAACGAGTGTGCGCTGCGCTAAGAGAGCCACATTTTGAAAACGGCCCGCCCTGAATCCGTGAGGCTCCTGCATGTGTAAGACGAATGCGCGCGTCGCTAAGGCGAGAGCCACGTTTCGGAAACGACCTGCCCTCCATCTGTGAAGCTGTTGCCAGTTGTAAAGAGTCAGGCTTATACGTGATAAGGAAGACTCAGGCTAAACGCCCGGCCCGCCCTTCAGACTTGCCCGGGGGTGCGACAGCGAGGATTTATTCATCAGGAACAGGAGTGGAGGAGAAACAGCTGAAGTAGGAGCAGGAGGACGAGGAGGAGCAGGAGGAGGAGGAGGAGGAGGAGGAGGCTGGCTGACGGCGGTGACTCGGCAGGACGCCGCGTCGGAGCCCGCGGCCCGGGACGCCGCCGAGGACCTGCAGAGGCCTGGATGCCGCCGCGGGCCGCCGCCCCGCCGCCGCCGCGGCCTGCCCCGGGCACGATCCCACCACGACCCCAAAACGCAATTATCCGGGCGAAAGACCCAACCATACGCAAGCGTGAGAACCGCAAGGCAGGGGGACGAAGCAACAGGAATTCCCAATGGGGCCACGAATCGTGTGAGGGGTGCGCCAAAATGGCGCGGGGCCGCCATGCGAACCCTGCCACTGGGGCCTTCGGTGGAGCTCCCTGTGGGGCCACGAACCGTGTGAGGGGGGCGCCAAAATGGCGCGGGGCCGCCATGCGAACCCTGCCACTGGGGCCTTCGGTGTAGCTCCCTGTGGGGCCACGAACCGTGTAAGGGGCGCGTAAAAGGGGGCGGCGCCGCCATGCGAACCCTGCCACTGGGGCCTTCGGTGGAGCTCCCTATGGGGCCACGAACCGTGTGAGGGGTGCGCCAAAATGGCGCGGGGCCACCATGTGAACCTTGCCACTGGGGTCTTCGGTGGAGCTCCCTATGGGACCACGAACCGTGTGAAGGGTGCACCAAAATGGCGCGGGGCCGCCATGCGAACCCTGCCATTGGGGCCTTCGGTGGAGCTCCCTATGGGGCCACGAACCGTGTGAGGGGTGCGCCAAAATGGAGCGGGGCCGCCATGCGAACCCTGCCACTGGGGCCTTCGGTGGAGCTCCCTATGGGGCCACGATCCGTGTGAGGGGTGCGCCAAAATGGCGGGGCCGCCATGCGAACCCTGCCACTGGGGCCTTCGGTGGGTCCCTAGGGCGGCCACGAAAACCGTTGAGGGGTGCGCCTAAATGGAGCGGGGCCGCCATGCGAACCATGCCACTGGGGCCTTCGCTGGGGCTCCCTTTGGGGCCACGAACCGTGTGAGGGGTGCGCCAAAATGGCGCGGGGCCGCCATGCCAACCCTGCCACTGGGGCCTTCGCTGGGGCTTCCTATGGAGCCACGAACCGTGTGAGGGGTGCGCCAAAATGGCGCGGGGCCGCCATGCCAACCCTGCCATTGGGGCCTTCGGTGGGGCTCCCTATGGGGCCACGAACCGTGTGAGGGGTGCGCCAAAATGGCGCGGGGCCGCCATGTGAACCATGCCACTGGGGCCTTCGCTGGGGCTCCCTTTTGGGCCACGAACCGTGTGAGGGGTGCGCCAAAATGGCGCGGGGCCGCCATGCCAACCCTGCCACTGGGGCCTTCGCTGGGGCTCCCTATGGAGCCACGAACCCTGTGAGGGGGGTTGCCGAAAGGGCGAGGCCCGCTGATGAGAGGAGGGGGAGGAGGAGGCGGAGAGCGACGGGAACGCGGGGCACATGTCGGGGTCCAAAACGAGGACCCCAACACACAGGATGATTGGGACAAATACTTATTCTGCCATGTTTCCCGCCAGGTCTCCTGACTTTCGCTTTTTCAGCTCCCGACGCTCATTGCCCACAAGGAGGGCTCCAAACGCCCACTGCGCGCCTGAGGCTCCCAACGCTGCCTGACGGCCCAACAGCGCGCCCAGATTGCCCAAACTGCATCCGGGGGGGCCCAGGAGTACCCGAGGCAGCTGAAGCTGGGCCCAAGACAGCCCAACTGGCCGACAAAACGGCTCCAGACACTTCCACACGGCCTCCGCTGCGGCCGCGCGCGGCGAAGCGCGCGGCGGAGCTCGCGGAAACTTTAGTTGTTCCTTTTCCTACTCTTTTTCCTCCCCCTGCTCCAACTCCTCATTCTGCTCACGCTCGCTGGTGGGGCGCTGCTGCGCACTTTTTTCGCCTCCTCCACCTCCACCTCTTCTTCTTCCGCCCCCTCCCCTTGATCCCCCACCGCGTTCCTCCTCCTCCTCCTCCTCTGCCTCCTCCTCCTGCCGGCAGCGCAGTGCGAGAAATCCAAGGCTCCGGGAGGGTCGGCCGTCAGGACCTTGTGGACCGAGATCCGCTGTCGATGGCGCTGCTTGCCGTGGCAGCCTTTGGCGCCATGATGCCGTGACTCGAACCTAAGCGCGCGTAGCGCGCGCGAAGTTCTAGATGTATTACGTATGTATGTATGTTGGTATGCATTGCACGCATGCATGTTGTATGTATATACGTATGCGGAAATATGTGCGGATATGTGTATATCAACACACACACTAGAAAGACCGCGCGTTTCGCGCGCGTTCGCGGTGCTAGCTGGGCTCGGCATGCAGGAACGCATGGAATCTGCATTGTTTGAAGTGTCTGTGCAATCTAACGACCTTCCTGGAGTCCCCGCGCAAGCCTAGGACGCGTATAGAAAAGGGGATGCGGAAACCACATAATCATCGACTATTTTAGGTGCTCGATGATTTGGGACCCTTGAAGGTTTCCTGGATCCTTGTCGGGGTGACGGGGGCTTTAATCATGGGCCGCTATGCAAAAATAGGCGGGGGGTAAGTTTGAAATTCGCCTGACGAAGGACCCAACCATATGCAGGTGTGAGTACCGCAATTGTGATTCCCTTTTTCGGTGGTGATCCCTATGGGGCAACGAACCGTGCTAGTGGCGTGCCGACATGAACGGCGTGGTACACAACGCAAACGAAAACGATTGATCTGAGTACGTAGGGGGACTGAGCGCGGGTGAATCTGAGCGCGAGTGCGTCTGACTGTGAATGAATCTGCGTGCGAGCGAGTCTACGTGCACGAATGCGAGTATGTCAATGCATGGTGCAATTGCATATGAATGCTAATAGTTTGTGAATGACTGCATCTGAGTACTCGTGACGCTGGGCGTGGTCGCCGCAAGGAGCTTCCCCGGGGCTCCCCGACGGCGTCGCCCGCGCGCCGCGACGCCACCGCGGGGATCGCGCCCGCTTCCTCCCCGTCTTTTACTCCCTCTTTGCCCGCGCGCTCAAAAGTCCAAAGCTGCGGGCGCAGCGCAGCGCGGAGTTCCAGCGACGCGCGCAGGTCGCCCCGGAGGGGTCCCAGCGACGCGCGCGGGTCGTCCGCTGCGCGCAGCAAAGAGAGCTTGCTGGCTGGCTGATAGCGGGCAAGGCTCATGCCTCTGGGGCAGAGCGACGACAGGGCGAGCGAGGCGCGGAAACTCCGACGGCCTCCGACACAGGTGTACTGGGTGGGAAACGCATGCTGATATGCGCCACGGGGACATCGTGGAGCTCCCTCTAGGGGACCACGAAACGCGTAGAAGTGTGTGCTGAAAAGGGTGTGCGGGATGCACGACGAATGCGGGCACACACACTCTTTGACCTTCGGTGGAGCTCCGTATGGGGCCACGAACGTGCGAGGGGAGGGCCGACAATGGGTGCGCGGGACGCATGCAGGGCACACCCCCACTGCGGCCTCGGTGGAAGATTTCTCCGGGTGGAGAGCTGCTCCAGCAAATTACGCCGACAAGAATAATGGGCTGTCGTCCGAAGGTGGGCACACCCACTGGGACCTTCGGTGGAGCTCCCAATGGGGCCACGAAGCGTGTGAGGGGTGTGTCGAAATGGGTGTGCGGGACGCATGCGGGCACACCCACCTTGGGACATTTTTCTTTATTTTTTTTTTTTTTTTTTTTTTTTTTTTTTTTTTTTTTTCTTTTTTTCGGTGGAGCTCCCTATGGGGCCACGACACGCGTGAGGGGTGTGCCGAATTGGGTGTGCGGGACGCCTGCGGGCGGCATCATTGAGGCCTTCTGTGGAGCGCCCTATGGGGCCACGAAACGTGTGAGGGGTTTGCCGAATGAGTGTGCGGGACGCATGCGGGCGGCAGCATTGGGGCCTTCGGTGGAGTTCCCTATGGGGCCACGAAACGCCTGAGGGGTGTGCCAACATGGGTGTGCGGGGCGCATGCGGGCAATACTGGACCTTCGGGGAAGCTTCCGATGGGGCACGAAAAACGCGTGAGGGGTGTGCCTGTACTGGGTGTGCAGGGACGCATGCGGGCACACCCACTGGGACCTTCGGCGGAGCTCCGTTATGGGGCCGCGAGACGTAGGGAGGGGTGTGCCGAAAAATGAGGTGTGCGGGAAGAATGCGGGCACACCAACTGGGACTTCGGGGTGGAGCTCCCTATGGGGCCACGAGCGTGTGATGGGTGTGTGTGAGGGGTGGGCCGAAATGGGTGTGCGGGACGCATGCGGGCACACCCACTGAGACCTTCGGTGGAGTTCCCTATGGAGCCACGAAACGTGTGAAGGGTGTGCCGAAAAGGGTGTGCGGGACGCATGCGGGACACCCACTGGGGCCTTCGGTGGAGCCCCCTATGGGGCCACGAAACGTGTGAGGGGTGTGCCGAAATGGGTGTGCGGGACGCATGCGGGCACACACACTGGGACCTTCGGTGGAGCTCCCTATGGGGCCACGAATCGTGTGAGGGGTGTGCCGAAATGGGTGTGCGGGACGCATGCGGGCACACCCACTGGGACCTTCGGTGGAGCTCCCTATGGGGCCACGAAACGTCTGAGGGGTGTGCCGAAATGTGTGTGCGGGACGCATGCGGGCACACCCACTGGGACCTTCGGTGGGAGCTCCGTGCGGGCACGAAACGTGTGAGGGAGTGTGCCGAAAAGGTGTGTGCCGAAATTGGTGTGCGGGACGCATGCGGGCACACCCACTGGGACCTTCGGTGGAGCTCCCTATGGGGCCACGAAGCGTGCGAGGGGTGTGCCGAAAAGGGTGTGCGGGACGCATGCGGGCACACCCACTGGGACCTTCGGTGGAGCTCCGTGCGGGGCCACGAAACGTGTGAGGGTTGTGCCGAGATGGGTGTGCGGGACGCATGCGGGCACACCCACTGGGACCTTCGGTGGGGTTCCCTGTGGGGCCACGAAACGTGTGAGGGGTGTGCCGAAATGGGTGTGCGGGACGCATGCGGGCACACCCACTGGGACCTTCGGCGGGGCTCCGTATGGGGCCACGAAACGTGTGAGGGGTGTGCCGAAATTGAGGAGGGAGGAGGAAGGAGGGGGAGGAGGAGAGGAGAGGAGACGCGGGCCACCGTCTCTTCAAAACGAAGACCCAACACCACAGGATGGTTGGGAAAAAAAGGAAAGATGTAATGGACTTTCTTTTTTTCAAATTGCCATGCCTGGACCGTGGGTCAGAAGCTTCCTGGATACAGGCCGTCGACTTGGGGCGCCTCTTGGGGCCTGTTGGCGGCATCTTGGGAGTCTTTCGGGGCCTCTTGGTAAGCTCTTGGTGCCTCCTGGGAGCTTCCCGGGAGTCTCGGAAGGAATTTTAGGGGCGCCTCGAGGGCCTTTGCGAAAACCTTGGGGCCATCTTGACGCAAAGCGCTTGAAAGGCTTGGGCCGGTCCTCTCTTTTGGCTCTATCTTAGTGCCCGCGCTGAAGGTCTACCTGGACTGGACAGGTGGGCCCAGGGGATCTCCATTTCTGAAGGCTTTTTTCCGGGGCGGCCAAGTGGGCACGAAGACGGCTTTGGAGAGTTCGAAGACAACGTCAGAGAGTTGAGCGGCATTCCCCAAAAATCAGTGCAATGTGCGCCCAAAGTCTTGATGGGTCCCGGGGTGAGGAACAAAAGGCATCATTGGATTTGTTTCTATTGGGCCACCGATCATACAATGCACAGAAATCCAGGGGGCCCAAGAGGCTTGCAGAGGTCTCTTGGGAGGCAGTTTTGGATCTTTCCGGGGCTGTTTTTATGGCCTTGTTGGGCCTTTTTTGTGGCTTGGCTTGGAGGCCTCTCGGGGGTTCTTGGGGCGTCCTGCTCCCGCTCTCGGGCCCATCTTGGGCCTGTCCTGGGGCGCTCTTGGACCGTTTTCGGCGCCTCTTGGGCAGTCTTTGGGCTCTCTGGGGCCGTTTTGGGCTCTCTTGGGGGTCTATTCGGCCGTCTTGGGGCGGTCTTGGGGGCCTCTCTGGCTGTATTGGAGTGTTGGAAGCTTGAAAACGAGAGAAGGACAATGTGATATTCGGAGACTTGGAGCCATCGACGGTTTCCTTGGGTCTTTCTTGGCTGGTGACGGGGGCCATAATCGTTGCCTGCTGTGCAAAAGTAGCGTGCGGGGGGGCGGGTTGGCTTTTGAAAAAAGGAATTATGATAATTTCCTCTTTTTCGAATTGCCATGCTTGGACTGTGGTGCAGAAGTCTCCGGGATACTGGCCATGGTCTGTTGTGATGGCCCTCGGGGCCTTTTTGGCGGCGTCTTGGAGGTCTTTGGGGGCGTCTTGGGGAGCTCTTGGTGCCTCCTGGGAACCTCCTGGGAGTTTCCGCAGGTATCTGGGGGGCGCCTCGAGAACCTCTGGGAGAGCCTTGGGGCCACCTTGGGACAAAGCGCTCGTAAGGCTTTAAGGGGGTCCCTCTGTTGTCTCTTTTTTGGCGCGTGAGCGCGCTGTCGTTCTAGCTAGGCTGGACAGGTGAACTCATGGGATCTCGATTTCTACGGTGGTTTCAGGGACAGCCATGAGGACACGAAGACGACCCAGGAGAGCACCAAGACAGCGTCAGAGAGTTCAACAGCATTCCCGAACAATATTTGCAATGTGACCCCGAAGTCTTGATGGGGCTCGGGATGAACTTGAACAAAATGAGACTCACTGGAGTTCCTGTGTTAGAAAGTGGGGCCTGCTAACATGTAGCACGCAGGAACCAGGGTGTCTAAGGGGCGTGCAGGGAACTCTTGGGTGGCAATTTGGAAACCGCTGGGGGGCTGTTTTCGGGCCTCTTGGGGCCACGTTTGGGCCTCTCTTCGGGGCTCTTGGGCGCCTCTTCAGGCTCGTTGGGGGACTCTTGGGGCCTCCTCGGGGCCTCTTGGAGCGGAAAGCTGGGATTGTCGATTTGCGTTCCCCCTGTTGGGCGGCCTCTCGGGCCATCTTGCGGGTTTCTTGGGCTGCACCGGGGCGCTCTTAGGCCGTCTTGGGGCCGTCGTGGGACCTTTTTGGCCCGTCTTGCAGCCGGCTTGGAGGCTCTTGGGCGGTCTTGGGACGGTCTTGGGGGCCTTTTTCGGCCGTCATGGAGCGTTGGAAGCTCGAAAACGCGAGAAGGCTGAAAACCCCGATAATACAAATGAGAATCAACGATTTGGGCCTCTTCGGGTGCTCCCGGACTCCTTTCGGAGCTCTCTCGGGGCCTCTTGGAGGCTTCCTGGGAGCCTGGGGAGCGGAGGTCTGTCTTGGCTCGCTTGGGAGCGTCTTGGGCGATCCTTTCGCGTTCTGTGGGCTCCTTGGGGGCCTCTTGGGCCGTCCTGGGGCGTTTTTGGGGCCCTGGGAGGCCTGGGGGCGCGGTACCGGGAGTTGCCCCCAGATGTTCCGGAGGTGGGGGACGCTCCCGGAGGGGGGGGGGCGTATTTGATTGAATTAAATTATATAATACACGGCTGATGCTGATGTTGATGCTGATGCTGATGCTGCTGCTGCTGCTGCTGCTGCTGCTGCTGACGATGATGATGATGATGATGATGATGATGATGATGATGATGATGATGATGATGATGATGATGATGATCATGATGATGATGATGATGGTGATGATGATGATGATGATGATGGCGGTGGTGGTGATGATGATGATGATGCTGATGATGATGGTGGTGCTGATGCTGATGTTGGTGATGCTTATGCTGAGGCGGATGCTGTTGCTTTTGCTGATGTATTTGCTGATGCTTATGCTGCTGCTGATGATGATGATGATGATGATGCAGATGATGATGCTGTTGATGATGATACTCTTGATGATGATGATGATGATGATGATGATAATGCTGATGCTAATGCCGATGCTCGTGTTGTTGGTGCAGCTGCTGCTGTTGGTGGTGCTGCTGATGATGATGACGATGCTAATGATGATGATGATGATGATGATGTTGATGATGATGATGCTGATGATGATTATGGTGATGCCGATGCTAATGGCGATGCTGATGATGATACGGATGGCGATGATAATGCTAATGATGATGAAGATGATGATGATGATGGTGATGTCGATGATGATGACGATAATGATGATGGCGATGGTGATGATGCTGATGATGATGGTGATGATGATGCTAATGATGATGATGATGATGATGATGATGACGATGGTGAGGATGCTGATGATGACGGTGATGATGATGCTGATGATGATGTTGATGATGATGCTGCTGCTGATGATGCTGATGCTGATGCTGATGCTGATGCTCGTGCTGGTGGTGCAGCTGCTGCTGTCCGCGCTGCTCCTGATGATGCTTACGATCATGATGACAATGATGATGATGATGATGTTGATGATGATGCTGCTGCTGATGATGATTGTGATGGTGATGCTAATGATGATGATGCTGATGATGATGAAGATGAAGATGATGAAGATGATGATGATGATGATGATGATGATGATGATGATGATGATGGTGATGGTGATGGTGATGGTGATGGTGATGATGATGATGGTGATGGTGATGGTGATGGTGATGATGATGATGATGATGATGATGATGATGATGATGATGATGATGATGATGTTGATGGTGGTGCTGGTGGTGGTGATGATGATGATGAGGAGGAGGAGGAGGAGAAGCAGGAGGAGGAGGAGGAGGAGGAGGAGGATCTGGATGCGAGTTCCTCAGATGGGTGTGGCTGCGCAGTGGTCCGGCGGCTTGGACAGCCGAGGGCACGTGGTTGTGGTCCCAGCGCTCCTCCCGCGCCTCGTGCCCGAGCACTCCCGCTTCCCCTCCCCTGCCCTACCAGCCCCCTTCGCTCGCTCTTCTCCCCCCTCTGCCCCCTGCCCAGTCGCCTCCACCTTTCCCTCCCCTCTTCCGACACCCCTGCCGCCTGCTTTTTCCCTGCCGCGCACCCCTGGCTCCCTGTGCCCCGCGCCCTGTCGCCCCACTGTCCAGAGAGGCAGCTCGCGGATCCGCTGAGCAGCCTGCGGCGGGGCGAGTTTGCGCGTTACGCCGCCAAGGCCATTGGGAGGAGGAGGACGGGGGGGAATAATCTATAAGAGTGCAAACAGCAATAAGAAGAGTCGAATTATCATTGTTATTATTTCTGCTTCTTTGAGTACTACTACTACTACTACTACTACTACTACTACTACTACTACTACTACTACTACTACTACTACTACTCCACCACACCACCACCACCACCACCACCACGACACTACTACTACTACTACTACTACTACTACTACTACTACTACTACTACTACTACTACTACTACTACTACTACTACTACTACTACTACTAATACTTACTACTACTATCTACTACTACTACTACTACTACTACTACTACTACTACTACTACTACTACTACTACTACTACTACTACTAACTTACTACTACTACTACTACTACGACTACTACTGCTACTACTAACTACTACTACTACTACGACACGACTACGACTACTACTACACTACTACTAACTACTACTGACTACTACTACTACTACTACTACTACTACTACTACTACTACTACTACTACTACTACTACTACTACTACTACTACTACTACTACTACTACTACTACTACTACTACTACTACTACTACTACTACTACTACTACTACTACGACTACTACTACTACTACTACTCTACTACTACTACTACTACTACTACTACTAACTACTACTACTACTACTACAGACGACTACTACGACTACTACGACTACACGACTACTAACTACTACTACTACTACTACTACTACTACTACTACTACTACTACTACTACTACTACTACTACTACTACTACCACTACCACTACCACAACCACTGCCACTACCACTACCACTATCACTCGCACTACCACTACCACTACCACTACCACTACCACTACTACACACACGCGCACACGCAGAAACGCAAACACGCACACACGTACACACGCTGACATGCACACACGCACACGCGCACACACGCACACACGCACACACGCACACGCACACACGTACACGCCCACACACACACAGACACAGACACAGACACAGGCACCCACACGCACACACCCGCGCACACACGCACACACGCACACACGCACACACGCACACACACACACACACAGGCACGCACAGCCGTTCTGGCCCAAGTGGGCTTGGTGCAGCATACATCCAGAGCGGCTATAGTGCTGTACCGAGCTGAAGTGGCTCGTTCTGCAGATTGCTTCTCTCGCCCGTGAGGGCACAGCGATGGCGAATGTCGGGACGCATTGGACATGTCCGTGCTGCCCGAAGTTCAACCCGATCAGCAAGGTCAAGTGTGCCCAGTCGGGGTGCAACGGAGTTCGGCCTGGCCATGGACCCGCACCGCGTCCGTGGCACACCGCTGGCGGGAAGTGGGCTCAAGGTGCTCCGCAGCTTAAGCCTGGCAAGCCTTCTCGTCGGCGTGTTGCTGCAGGTGCTACACTTGATGATGCTGGTGTCAAATCGTACGTGGAGCTTGCTCCAGATGCCTGGGAGTTGGTCAAGTCTACTCTGTCTCAGTCCAGCCGTGATCGTGTTCAGTATGCGAGAACGGCGGCGGCGGCAGGCTGGACTCCAGGCGTCACGCAGAATAACAATGTGGAGAAGGCTGCGAAATCTTTGCTCGCTGGTCAGCAGAAGCTGCAGAAGGCGAAGGAGGCAGCAGCCAAGGCCATGGTCGCCCTGCAGGAGCAGCAGGTGGCCGTCGTTCCTCTGGAGCAGGAGCTGGCTGTGGCCAAGGAGGAAGCTGCCAAGGCACTGGGTGCGTCCACTGCGCCGCCCAAGCTTGACATCGGCCCCTTGCTCGAGCAGCTCAAGCAGTTGCAGTCCAGCGCAGGCCAAGGCGACACTGTTGAGGCCATCTTCGGGAAGGTCGCCCTGGCCGTCACCGAGTTCGCCCAGAAGCAGCAGCCTGCTGCTTCCCCAGTCCCCTGTCCTTCCTCCACGGCCCCTCCACCAGGTGGTGGCGCCAACGGCGGCGGCGCGCCTGGCGCCGACGGCGGCGCCGAGGCGGCCAAGGGGGCCGATGGCGATGCTACCATGGAGGATGGCGGTCGCGGTGGCTTCAGCGACCATCTTGATGGAGAGGATCCAGGAGGGCTGCTGGCAGGGGCTGCAAACCCCGACGAACGCAAGCGGATCCTGGAAGCGTTGGAGATCCTTCGTGCGGAGTCCAAGCGGAGGAGGACGAATCTTTAGTGGTTCACGGCAGCGGCGTTCCTGGGTCGGTCTCACAGTGAACGCCAACGCATACTCTACGTTTGAGACCCTCCTGGACCGCATGGAGATCCGTCGGTCCGATTTTGTCGCAGTCCAAGAGACGCATCTCACTGTGGAGCGCAGCAATGAGGTGGCATCGAGGCTAGCCAAGCTCGGCTGGCATGCGCATACAGCCCCAGCAGAGGGCTCAGGGCCCGGAATTCCTGGGCATGGAGGCCTCCTTTTGCTGTCGCCACGGGTGCACGGCATGGGCCGGTTCGAGGGTGTCGGCAGCTCAGTCATCGACGCTGGGCGTGCGACCTTCGTTCACCACTCAGGCTTCTGCTCGGGTGGCGTGGTGCTGGCCACGGTCTACCTGCACACTGGCGAGGGGCTCACGTGCGCCAACGAGAGCATCCTGCACAAGGTCGCCACCATGCTGCAGGTCCTAGGGCGCCCATTCATCATCAGCGGCGACTTCAACATGGAGCCAGCCACTTTGATGCAGTCCTCCTTTCTCGAGCGGTGCGGCGGCCGAGTTGTGGCGCCGAGCTCGGGAACCTGCAGGCCCTCGGAGCACGTCATTGACTACTTCGTCTTGTCCAGGCATTTCCGCGTAGCCAGCGCCGAGGTATTGCACGAGTGGGGGTTTGGGCCGCATCGGCCTGTCAGGCTCACGATCGACGGCACTCAGATTGACGACTGGGCGCAAGTGATGCGCACGGCCAAAGCCTTTCCCAGTCCGTTTCCTGCTGGCTGTTGCACGCGGGACTTCTCGGAGGATTGGCGCGCGCTGCGCGAGGTCACGACCAACGTGGACACGGCCTGGACGCAGTTCATAGGCGTCACGGAGCACTACCTCTGTGACCTCGCAGGGCTTGACCTCGACAAGTACGGTGGCCGTGGTCGCAGACCAGAGCTCGGTTGGGCTCGAGCGTGCCCGCCCTCGGCGCCTCGCATTCCGAAGGTGAGCAGGCCTGCGATGTGGTTGAAGGGCGTGGCCCTTGCTGCCGCCGACGGGGTCAGTGATGATCCCATCCGCCGAGTGCGAGGTCAGCGAGCTCTGGCGCGCAGAGCGCAGCGGCCACCTGCCAGCACGTGGTGCCAGGCGGTGGCGCTTCTCTGCCGCGCGCGCGAGTACATGGGCAGCGTCGAACTGGAGTGCTTGGCTGGGGTCACCAAGCAGCTCGCCGACGATGCCGTCGCTACCGATGTGAAGGAGTCGAAGGCGCGCTTCGGGGATTGGATCGATGCCAACTCTGCTGGCGGGGGGGCTGCGCTGCATGCTTTCACGAAAGAGCCTGCGGCGAACGCCTCCGCGATCCAAGGGGTTGCAGCGCCGCTGGGCAAGATGGAGGCGGTCAAGGCGCTGGTGTGCGAATGGTCGGAGTACTGGCGCACCGCGGCCGAGCTTCCGAAGCTGAGTTGGCCTGCTGACCTCGGCGAGCGTCCCAGGCGGCCGACCCCAGATCAGCTACGCCGAGTATGTGCAACCTTCAAGGTCCACGGAGGGCGTAGCTTCGACAGTTTCAACCCGTGCGACTTCGGCGTGCTGGACGATGCGGGCCTGGAGGCGCTCGCAGATTTGATCGGGGTGGTCGAGCAGCAATGTTGTTGGCTTGACTTTATCAATAAGCTTGCATTCATACCTAAGCGTGAAGGTGGAGTGCGGCCAATCGCCCTTCTTGCTGCGCTTGTTTGAGTGCATGGGCGGTTGAGGAGGCCCATAGCCACAGCGTGGGAAGCCACCCGCAATCGCGGCTACTGGTGGGCGTCGGCTGGCAAGAGTTATGATCGCGCAGTGTGGCAACAGTTGGTATGGAGCGAGTGGGTCTCCATGAAGATTGATGAAGATCCCAGCGCCGACTGGGCCACTGCAGCGCTATTACTTGACTTGTGGAAGGCCTTTGAACAGATCAGGCATGACAACTTGTTGAGATTGGCTCAGAAGTTTTCCCTACCTTTGTGGTTGTTGAAGCTGCAACTGGGCATTTATACCAAGGCCCGTTCTCTTGTGTTGGATGGTGACGTACCTGATCTGGTCTACGTGCGCCAGACCGTGCTTGCAGGCGACCCGTTTGCCACAACTTTCATGAAGCTGCAGCTGATCGGGAGTGTCGATCGCATGCAGCAGGCGGTGCCCACGGTTTCCCCCGCCGTTGTGGTCGACGATTCGGTTCTGCAGCGGCACGGCGGTGAGCATCGGGTGATGCGAGACATCGTCTTGGCGGCGCAGGTGCTGGTGAACGGTCTCAGCAGGGACAGCACCCGCACCGCCGCCAAGAAGTCGCAGGTCCTTGCATCAAGTACGCCCCTCACTCACACGTTGAAGGCCAAGCTGATTACGATCGCGGGTGCTCAAGCAGCCAGGCACGCGAGGAACCTCGGCACTGATTTTGCTCGAGGACGCGCGCTTGGGCGACAGGTGCGGCGCGCGCGACTGCGAGCTGCTGAGCGACGGGTACCCAGAGTGCGGCGTCTATTGGGCAATGGGGGTCGACGTGCTATCGCAGCTCGCATCGCCAAGCAGGGCCTCGAGGCAGGTTATGCGTACAGCGTGAACTGCGCGGAGCTGAGCGACACCGACCTTCAGTCTGCTCGGTCGGTCGCCTTCCGTTCTACGGAGGCCCGAGTAGACGGCAAGAGTCGCACGCTCTGTCGCACGTTGTCGCCTGCGCGCGATTTCGGCCCCATCTTTCGAGCCACGGTCGATCCAGTCTGTATGCTGCATCGTGCCGCCTGGGACAGTTGGATGCCGCAATCTATTCTGTCGTCGGTGCTGGAGTCTTGGGCTCAGGTA